TTTCTTTAGAGGCCTGCCTAAACTTGTTGCTGGTGAGAGAAAGTGGTGAGAAAAACAGACTCCTTAAGCTACAACATTCTGTGATCTCGCTTAACCTGAAGGTTTAATGTCTTCTGATATCCGAAGGACTGCATAACCTGTTACACAACCATAGAGCACAAACACCCTCTGGAGTCTTTTGTTCACTGCAGGACTTCACCTTGTAAAACAAACCAGCCAAGAAGGTCAGCGCTAACTTACCAAAAGACTGCAGGCAGGCTTGGATGAGCTCCTCCCAGGTTGCGCCCTTGGTGAGGTGTCCCAGAGGCATTACTGATTTACTCGGCGGGGTATGGGCCGGGCTAGGTTTGTGGAACCTGTGAGGCCGACCTGGAGGAGAAACTCTAGACCTGGAGGTGCATCCTTGAGTCACTCTCCTTGAGAAACACCAACACAAGAAGAACAGTGAGGGGCGGAGGAGGTACAGGAGGGTTAACTGCAGTGAAAGTGTGCCTTTCTCCTTTTGCTATTAACATGTATGACTGTACATGCACACTCCTTAAACCATGATTTTACGAGAGCACGGGTTATTAGCCCACACGCATGAAAGGATTTGTCCCACAGTCACACAACTCGAAGGTGTTATTTACACTTAAGAAACCCCCGTGGTGTGTTTTGCTATTCATTGTTCTCATTTCCTTCCTTTAACTTGGGGAAATACCGGCTGATTGCGGACATCCACATAAAACTCTGACCAGTGACCAGAGCAAAGAGCTTACAAATGGAACAGTTTTACGCATGTAAGCGCTTCAAGCGTAGCAGGTCTGGCCGCAGAGAAGCGGGTGAACTTGAACACGCTTGTGCGCAATAACAAGTGGAAAGCATCAGTTTTTGACACCATTTTGGCCAAAATTCCACATTTACTATTAACAAATAGCTGATAGTAGGAATAACCTTCCTATACCTTCGATCAGGTGCCCACGTTTTCACCAGAGAAAACCAACCAGAAACTCCTCAGCAAAAGCACAAAAAGATGAGCCGACTTACGCTTCGTCTCTGCCCTTTTCCTCTGGTGTTATACTTTCGTTTTGGTTTTCTTTTGACTGACATCCCATTGCGAGGTACTGGGCGACGAGCGGTTGAACTAGGCTGTCCATCTGTGTCCTCCTCGATGGGAGCATTACATCGCTCTGCTGGGCTCGGTGCGCCTCCGCGGTCTCACAAGCATTGTGCTGACTCGTCAATGAACGTTACACAATTAAGATTCACCCAGCCTGTCTGTGAGTGGGCGGCCGTGCTGCTGCTGTCGGGCTTGTCACTCACACGGAGTGGACTCCGCGCTTCACTAGTCATTATACTTGCGTCAAAAGTCGTGCTCTAGATTTATACTTGAAGATTTTAATCACGGAAGCGGCGCGGGGGGGGGGGCCTCGTTGAAGTCATTCCATCCAAGAAAATGAAAAGCACATGTTCCTATTATCTCGCTCTTTTGGCACTCTAACAATGATTTAGAACTTGATCACATATTATTTTTATTTTTTTAATTTTCACATTTTCCTGCTATTCCATAACAATTCACATTATATTCACATAACCAGAGGTTAAAATATCCCTTTGAGTACATTCTGGATAATCACTGCGTAATGTGATTCTTCCTTTGGTTTACTAAAAGATGTTGTTTGTTCATTCTGCACAACAGGAAAGGGTGGATCTTCCTTTAACAGATAACAGAGGTTGCAGGTTCCATTACCACTACAGCTTAAATCAGGGATTGTGTTATTGTGCTGTAGGTGGTCCAAAGAAGATGTTTCCTGAAATCTTTCAGGAGCTTTAAGAAGTCTTATCACCTTCATCCAAACGTAGATATGGGGATTATGGCTGCTCACATTTTACTCCAGAGGCCACGATTATATGAGATCTGAACATTTTAAATTGAAAATAGTCTCATTAATTTTAAACTGAACCCCATTTCTGAGATATTTTTCCTCAAGTGAGTAATGGGATGTACCTGAGTTGGTTTCTAAATTACACTCAGGCCAGCTGGCAAGTTAAAGGTAAGAAGAAAGCCTGGAGAAGTTTGATCCTCTAGTTCTACCCCCTGTCATAAACAGATAAACAAATGATCATCCAAATCATACTAAATCAGCTCTGGAGCTTTGCATTTGAATTTTCACAACACCATAAAAGAAGGATGCATACACATCTGTGAAGACTGTGGTGTAAGAAAAGCTGAGGCATCTCTGTCATGAAACCTACTATCTCCACTCCCTGTACGTAGTTCCCTTTAGTCAGCATGGCTGTGAGGGGAAGGTGCATGCCTGAACCTGAAAAGGGGGAGTTTAAAAACATCTTAGTGGATGATTATTGTTTCCTTCTGTAATGCTTGTTCATGACAAGAGATTTATTCGTGTTTATCAACGTCACTTGCAATGTGAATCATGCCCCTTGACTGAGTGAATTCGACTGGCATCAAAGCGCTATTAACTCCACATCAACGGATTTAAACACATGAGCCTCCCCCATTGGCCAGACGACAGGTATGAGTATAAAAGGTTTTGAAATCCAGTTATTATGTATTTGTCTGTATTCCTTTTAACCGTGCAGGTTTAATCTAATTATCTATAATCTTAAAAAAAAAAGATTTGTGTGTGTGTGTGTGTGTGTGTGTGTGTGTG